CATCTCATATTTCCTCCATTTGATGTAATTAAGATCCTCTATACACATTTGAAGCTCCCCATTCAGGTTTCACAGAGCGATGAAAGGCCGTATAGTGTTCTCTCCCTGGTGAGGTACCTTCCCAAGCCTATATGCATGAAGACATCATTTCCAGGTTCATATGTGTATGTAGTGTCTCTACTTTAAAGAGTCCTCTCCTGCTGATGTTCAGGTGTATATCAGTATGTAGTGTCTCTACTTTAAAGAGTCCTCTCCTGCTGATGTTCAGGTGTATATCAGTATGTAGTGTCTCTACTTTAAAGAGTCCTCTCCTGCTGATGTTCAGGTGTATATCAGTATGTAGTGTCTCTACTTTAAAGAGTCCTCTCCTGCTGATGTTCAGGTGTATATCAGTATGTAGTGTCTCTACTTTAAAGAGTCCTCTCCTGCTGATGTTCAGGTGTATATCAGTATGTAGTGTCTCTACTTTAAAGAGTCCTCTCCTGCTGATGTTTAGGTGTATATCAGTATGTAGTGTCTCTACTTTAAAGAGTCCTCTCCTGCTGATGTTCAGGTGTATGTCAGTATGTAGTGTCTCTACTTTAAAGAGTCCTCTCCTGCTGATGTTCAGGTGTATATCAGTATGTAGTGTCTCTACTTTAAAGAGTCCTCTCCTGCTGATGTCCAGGTGTATATCAGTATGTAGTGTCTCTACTGGGACATGTCTCCATGCTTTAATGTTCAAAAAGCTCTTTATTTGTCTCATACTGGAGAAATAATGAGTCATGTCTTGCTCCATATTTAAATGAGCGTTATGTCTTGATGAGAGGAAAGGTGCTCTGAGTGTCCCGTAGTGTATTGCTGTGTAATGAAGTTACACTGTAAGAGATACTGTAGGTAGTGAGCCTATAGAAAAGCTCTCTCTCTCTTTTAATGTCTGGCCTCTGCTTTGTTTCACTTAATTCTATCTCCCCATCTCCTGATCCATCCATCAGCGTCTCCCACACACTCCCCCCCCCCCCCCCTCTCGTTTGTCTCACACTGTGTCTCTTTGCAACTCATTTTCACTCCCATCATCCTTTCCCTTTCTCTCCCTTGATGAGTGAGTGTGGGCATTGCTGCTGATGCACTCCTGGTCATTAATAAAACTTTCATACACAGTCAGGAAATGCATTTGAGCCCCGGTGGCTGGAGCTCCTCTCAGACACACAGGAAATGGGCGCTTGGCCGGCAGCCAATCCGGCTATTTCAGGGGTTTGTCCGGAGCCAATCAAGCTGGATCTGGTCAGTTAATGGATCAGTGGCTCTTCTCCTCTCCGCAGCCAAATATCTGCAACAATTACAAGGTGTTTTGCTGTGTGAGAGACACTCACAAAAGAAAGAGAACGAAGACATATCAAAAAACAAAACAGCCACATTTACGTGATTACAGAAATGTGGAACGTTCCATTTATATACATGTAGGGGTGTCAGTATTTTGATTTCCCAAATGTTGATTTCAGCTGAGCACTAATAAAGGTAGTAAGGCAAATTATTGCATCAAAGACGAATAAAGTAATGTAAATATGATTGAAAAGGTTAGACAAACAGAACAGAGAGGCCAACCTAAGAAATAAAAGGAACATTCATTCATGCTTTTACTGAAAGATGTTTTCAAGAATAACAAGTCAAAGTTATATTACAAAAAAAAATGGATAGGCTGAATGTCTTTTAATTCTCAGAAAAACGCCAATATCCGTAATAAATCCTACAAAAACAATATGTAAAACTGGTATTTTTTTGTACAATAATGATTGACCTAACCTTGACTTGGTGTGCAGGTTTACTCTCCAACAAATACATAATCTCGCTTCTTCTTAATAAGTTAATTCATATGAAAAATCTTTTTTTATTTGCAAGCTGTAAACTGAAAACTTCTGTGCTTACATCAAGCTATTTGTTCCCACCCTGACACAGCAATGGGCAATGCAAGGGGATGTTCGTCATACTTGTGTATAACAATATGCGTAGTTAAGAATCTGTAACACAACATTAACATCTGCTGCAACGTCAGGAGTCTCAATGAGAGTCAGTCGCGACATGCAATTCAAAACAGCTGCAGTTTTAATCTCAGGCAAAATGAAGGGAGGAGAAATTATTTTTGGACGGTTCTTCAGATAAAAGCATCCTGTGAAAGGTGTGTGCGTGTGTGTGTGTGTGTGTGTGTGTGTGTGTGTGTGTGTGTGTGTGTGTGTGTGTGTGTGTGTGTGTGTGTGTGTGTGTGTGTGTGTGTGTGTGTGTGTGTGTGTGTGTGTGTACGCACAGTGCTGGTCACGTGAGAGACATATTGTAATGTGTTGTGTAAATTGACACCCATGTGCTTCTTGGGTGGGACGCCTCCTCCCATCCAGCAGGCATTTGCTATTGCAGCACAATGACACACACACACACACACACACACACACACACACACACACACACAGACACACACACACACACACACACACACACACACACACACACACACACACACACACACACACACACACACACACACACCGGAAGAGAGCATCCAGAGTGGAGCGCCGGCAGAAATGAATGACTTTGTCAGCTGTATGCTGTTAACCAGGCCATTTGACATTGATCCCTGCCTGACCCAGAACATCTACCCGTCTCTCTCTCTCTACATTTAGCTGCTTTTACTTAATTGTGTCTGGTTGTATGCAACAATGTAAGCACTATCTATCTGGGTCTCCATTTCTAGAGCTTTTTTTTTGCATGGAAACTACCCAGTGAGTATAATCATACAGAGAAACTAGCAGTTTTTCTATCACTACAACACATTTTAATTAAAACAAACTATACAGTAGATTAATAAATACTCTAATAATATAAAAGGCCTAGCAATATAAGCTCTTAAATATGTAATGGAGTTTTGGAAATCAATCAATTATGCAATAGTGATTTGATTGAATTAACTCCACACACTGTGGGCAGGTCTGAAAAGCAGGTCTGAAAAGCAGGTATGAAAAGCATGCTTTTTCAACAAAAAAAAACATATATTGAAATGTTTAAATTCATAATTTAGACTTTAATGTATTATTTAGATTTAAATTACATTTAAAAAAATTGATTTTGCACTGCTGTTGTTGCTGGACCTTCATACATGTTTTATAAAATAATTACTTTTAGTAAGTTATCATTCAGTTGAAGGATAAGTTGCACTGGTTGAGAAAGGCATCTTCAAATCGTTTTTATATGTTGTGGTAGCTTTTAATACATGAGATCATACAGACAGGAAACATGGTGAATACATTCAGATGAATAGTGGTTTATACCTTGTCAAATGTGTATTCAACACAAAGAAAACACAGATTAATTTTTTTGATGATCACATTTTCTTTGTCTCCCTCAGTGTGTCTCTATCAGCAGTTTGTTTCATCTCAGATATTTTCCTCAACAGGAAACAGAGCTCCCCCCACCCCCATTAGGGACCAGTGTCCGGTTACTTTAATGTGTGTGTATGTGTGTGTGTGTGTGTGTGTGTGTGTGTGTGTGTGTGTGTGTGTGTGTGTGTATGTGTGTGTGTGTGTGTGTGTGTGTGTGTGTACACTTGTACGCTTGTACGCCTACACTGGTGTGTCTTGCTTTAGTCCGGATGGTTGCAAGTTGCTGAGTAAGGGCACAGACAGAAAGAGACAAAAGCACACTAACACACCAACCCACACACACACACACACACACACACACACACACACACACACACACACACACACACACACACACACACACACACACACACACGCACACACACACACACACACACACACACACACACAGAGGAAGAGGGTCATATTACAGTCGTGCAGCATATTGTCAGTGATGTCACTTGTCCTTATGGAACAAATTAATGAATGAGAGTCTCCTCCCTTTTCTCTTTTAGCAAGGAGCACAGCTCAAACATGTTGACCTAGGTTTGAAGGCGCTTTGTGCAGCAAGAAGCACCTGCTCCTTAGATATAGGGGGCAGCATTTCACCTCTACTAATGTGTCAATACATAGCACATTTATAGTTTTTTATAGGTTGTAAAAGAATAGAGCCAACTAACAGAAGACCATGGATACCCAAAATATGAAAAAACTGGGTAAACTGTTCCTGTCTAAATAACCCTGCACTCTTCGAAAACACACGTTTGTATCGGTCTATAGTCACGTTAGCCATCTTTGGCTTTGGTGCAAAAGCTTATGAGAAGAAAAGCGTTGATACTTTTGGAAAAATCCCCAATTGACATTAACACCATTATACAACACTGTGTAGAGAGAATGCAATAAGATTACAATAAGAAATATCTGAAAGAACATTTTAAAAATAAGAAAAGACAAAAATGGGGCAACATTAGATAATAAGGGGTGATTTTGGATTATTTTTCATTCATTGAGTTAGCGACTGAGCTTGCTAGCATGCTATCTGGAAGTTCGCAGTTTACAAATGGCTGGTTGAGCACATGTATATTTCTGTGTGGCTTTCTGTTATTACCAGGTCACCCTCACCACAGATGATGATAAGATGTCATGATCTGTATAGATTTCATTACATTGGATCAGTTTCATCTGAAAAAAACAAATCATTTTAGAATATGACAGTATAATGTTTGTAAATACTATGTCGACATTTCAGGAACACGCTTGCTTCTGCCCTGTCATGTTCATAAAGCAGAACTCAATTGAATTCAGTGATGGGAGAGGGAGGGGGCAGAGAGAGAGAAAGAGGAGGGGTGTGTGTGTGTGTGTGTGTGTGTGTGTGTGTGTGTGTGTGTGTGTGTGTGTGTGTGTGTGTGTGTGTGTGTGTGTGTGTGTGTGTGTGTGTGTGTGTGTGTGTGTGTGTGTGTGTGTGTGTGTGAGAGAGAGAGACAGAGAGAGAGAGGGAGGGAGGGAGAGAAAGTGCATCCAGCTCTCAGTCATTCATCTCTCGGGGAGAGGAGAGGAAACGAGCAGGACGGGAAAATAAACATTTTTGAGCAGAAAAAAAAAAGGGAAGACTTCAGAAGCTCCAACTGCAGTTTCCTATTCATCATCTTCTCACATCCACAAATATCCTGCAAGAATTTCCCTTGCTCCTTCTGCTCTGCATGGAGATACTTTCCCTCTCTCTCAACCGGCAGGAAGTGTGCACCACGAGCATCCCTTAAAACTTGAATGTCCTTACAACTCGGACAGAGAGAGTGGTTCCTCTTCCATGCAGCGTGCATAGAGGGACTGGTTGCTTTTTTCGGGAGGTGTAGGAGGAGGTACTACAGGAGGAAGTACCGGGATCAGAGCTCCCCTGGAAGAACTACGGGAAGAAGAAGAAGAGGAGGAGGAGGAAGAGGGCGCGTCACGCTGAGAAAGAGCATCGTCCCAGCCCTTCTTACTCCCTACAAACTCTCACTCTGTAGAAAACAGTGCTACAGTCATCTTTAAAAAGTGCTGTAGGTGGATTTGATATAAGTGTTCTAGCAAAGTACCCTCCTGCAGTAACGTAAAGTAAGACTTTGCAGAAATCAAAAGAGTGCATTAAGGACAAGTTAACTGATATACTATAAGTGATTTGAAGGGATATTATAGGAGTATTGGCGAGTTTATTTGTCGCTCACGCTCAGGAGGCTCCAGCACGCCGCAGAATGGATCTCCCACCAATCAGAGGTAATCATAAATTCATCCTGTCGCCATCCGATCTGCTGATGAACTATTAATGATCTGTGTGACCTTGGGATGAAAAACTTCCATAGGGATTTTCTCATGAAATACGAATTATTCAAAAGGTTGGAGTAGCTTGGTAAAAATGCTGGGTATCTATCATGTTGCGCTTAATGTTCAGGCAACAGTCGTAAGATTTTCCTGCAGAAATACTTAAGAGATTTTGTGTGGTAAATGTTGGTGAAGTAGGATGAAAAGTATGGCTCTCTATTTGGCTCTGAATACTTGGTGGGAACCAGATGCAGGTGGACAGGATGTTCATACAGTTTTGCAACAAACAAGACAATCCTATTTTTATGCAAGCATTGCTAAAAGATGTGGCCGCATGCACATTTAACCAGTTTTCAGAGTCTCGTGAGAGGGATAAAGTTTTGGTTACTTTCTTCACTTGTCAGATCAAACTGCGATGCAAACAGACTCACAATATTTGGTAGTAGATGAAAGAGCAACGTTATATTTCCCCTTTAAACAGACTGGTTTCACCTAAAAAATGCTCTGCAGGAACAAAAACGGTTAGCAAAAGGTGCATCCTGATTATCTGGTTTCCCTGATTTGTGTTAGATTATACTGCTGGTGTTTAATAGAAAGATTTAAATCATAATCAGATGCATTTCTTCCTCTGCCCTGTCTCCACTTCTTGCCTTAGTGGGTGGGGACATAGTCGAGGAAGGATTGGTTTCTGAATCGTGATCATGTAAACTCTAATCTGTTTTGCCCCTGGTGGACACATTGGTCCAAGCTTTCAATTTCATATAAGTGAGGCTGAATAAATCATGTTGAAACTTTAATAGTGTGAACAGTTACATTCAGTTTGTGTTTTTCCTCACCTCTGGAGAAAGTTAGCCGCACACTTTTTTTATCAATGGGAGGCGTGAGAGAGTGTATTTCTGATGCGTATTAACCGAGTGTTTGACTGCATGTTAACTGGTCTCGCTGTGTGTGTGTGTGTGTGTGTGTGTGTTGTGTGTGTGTGTGTGGTGTGTGTGTGTGTGTGTGTGTGTGTGTGGTGTGTGTGTGTGTGTGTGTGTGGTGTGTGTGTGTGTGTGTGTGTGTGTGTGTGTGTGTGTGTGTGTGTGTGTGTGTGTGTGTGTGTGTGTGTGTGTGTGTGTGATTGGGACATGTGAGGTTGGGATTGATTGTCCTCAAGGTCGGATGCAGAATGTCAATACCTATCTCCGCTGGGGTGGGACTGGAGGGCCGGGTGGAGGAGAAAATGATGGGGCAAACTGATGGGGGGGGGGGGGGGTGGTGGTGGTATGATTAGAGGAAGGATTGACCAGCGATGGATGGATGGAGGGATGGATGGATGGATGGAGGGATGGATGGATGGATGGATGGATGGATGGATGGATGGATGGATGGATGGAGGGATGGATGGATGGATGGATGGATGGATGGAGGGATGGATGGATGGATGGATGGAGGGATGGATGGATGGATGGATGGATGGAGGGATGGATGGATGGATGGATGAATGGATGGAGGGATGGATGGAGGAATGGATGGATGGAGGGAGGGAGGGAGGGGACAGTATGTGTGGAGCGGAGGAATATGGCGGATAGATGAACGAATGATGAAATAGATGGGTGGATAGATGGAGAGAGAAAGGGGGGGGGGTGTGGAGGTGGAGGGACTTTTATGCTACAGCAGAGCTAATGCACTACACAACCACAAACTTGTGGAGTGAGAGAAAAGAGATCAACACTTTGCGAAAAAGAAAAGAGAGGAAATACAGCAAGTGAAGTGGACATATAACACGTCTTCTTTAGAGTATTAATAATTGAAATTTGGAGAAATAAAGTAGTTCTGCTTTGTTACAGCAGAAATTACAGTTCATCTTTAACATTTGTCTTTTGAAGAACAGCTGCTGTACAGAAAGTTCACAACACTTTGAGTAAATACATACTAAGCTAGAACATTTAGCAGGATCAGACCAAAGTCTGTACTGTATATAAGAAGTGGGCGTAGTCACAGTGACGTCATAGTGGTTTGCAGACTACCTTAAAGAAGACTTGAGTTTGGCAATTTGTATATCATCATCTTAGTTTTTGGGAACTGCAGGGAAAGAGAGAGGCTGGAGCATTTGAGGTCTCTAATGTTAATTCACTTAATTGATGTGAAAGGGTGAGAGAAGCAGAATGAAAACGCCCACATTGTACAAAGATTTGATAGCGACCTGTCAATCAAGCTTGCCCTTAAGCCATTTTAATGGGAACATAATCAGGCATAAAACTGACGATTCGATCATGAACTCATATGGATAATGTATATATCAAGTAAGAAGTATGGTCATTTTCTCATAGACTTCTATACAATCTGACTTGACTCCCAACATCAGATTGCAAGTTGAAGCCATAGTGTCCATAGATCAAAAGCAATATGACTTAATAATACTTCAAGTTGAGATATCTGGAGCACAAAATCAACAAACTATACTGTACAGGAAGCTTCGATATTCAAGGAATGATGGAAGTCCAGAGACAGCAGTTGAAAGCAATTACTCAAATCAAACAACAACTGAGAAACAACAGACGGTCAATCAGGCTCTTCTGAAGACTCATGGACTCCTTTGATAGCAGTTGATGTTTTATTGTCTTCTTGAACAAAATGAGAGGAATATTGTGACTGTGATAAAGGAAACTGCAGGCTTTGCTATTTGGGTGCTTCAGGGATTAAGTTGAAATACTCAATTTTAACTCAACATAGAGGTGTCAGAACTATGGGAATCACTGCTTTTTTAGGGATCCATCAGAGGATATTTGTGGCGCTTTTCCACTGTAGGACCTAGCACGGCTTAGTACGGTATGGTTAGGCCTTGGCTCACTTTATGCTGCGTATCCATTACAGTTTAGTAACAGGGGTAGTAACTATAGTAACGCAGCGTAGGCAGGGCGATCGGTTGTTCGGCGGGCGGAGCGACGCTGCGTAAAACTGCCGTGACGTCATCTTCAATGCGATCCACAAAATCAAAACATCATCCGTTAGCTGTTAGCAGGGGCGGACTGGGACTACAAATCAGCCCGGGACTCTCGACCGGCCCACTTCGGTACCGCCGGCCCACCTCGGTACCGCAAGTAAATACCGCTAGTAAATTGTCGACGGGGGGGAGGGTGCTAGTGACTTATCCGACCGGCCCACTTCAGTACCGGCCCATCGGGATTCGTCCCGAACGTCACGATGGCCAGTCCCCTGGCTGTTAGCCCTCAGAGCTCACAGCTCCTCATATCTGTTCAGAAACTAGACAAAAGTGAAACAAGTACAAACCACAGACTGTCTGTGTCATGGAGAATACAGTCGCTGGTTTATTTATGTCTGTAGGCCGTTGTTGTGAGTGTGGACGGTCGGAGCATATACTGCGTTAGCTTAGCCAATCTCCATTCAGAGAACACGCATTTTAAAAGGTTTTTCGCCTGCCGTCTGTCTGCAGACTTGTCAAAGCATTAATTCATGGTTTTTACTAACCGGTATCAGTATGTTGTTACTTCGGCATCATTTTGAAACGTGTATTACAATTAAATCACGGTCAAATATGTTCATTTTGTTGTAGTTGTAGCCCCCTTGCCAGCGATTCTCTCCATTCAGCAGTCGGGAGTGTTTACTTCACTAGTTTAGCATACTCAGCCCGGTTGTTGGCCCGGTAAGAACCTCGATTTTGGAGGGCCAGAAAAAAGGTGAAAAAGCAGCCCTGAGCCGGAACGAGCCGTAGTGGAAAAGCAAAAAAAACCTGGCCCAGATTTTTAAACCGTGCTACGTGCTGCAGTGGAAAAGCGCCATTGGTCTACACCAAGAGCCAGAAGGGCCAAGAGTTGATCAACTATAAATTCATTATCGGGAAAATACAATATAATTCAAATGTATTTATAAGACTCTGAACATGTTCTCTTGCCTCTATTTGGCTGGTACTGTGGACTTCTACCTGCTTCTTCTCACTTGTTATCTAATTACCAATATACCATTGTTCCCTTTACACAGAACATGGTGTTGCATAGACTTTGTGGAAGTATACACCGTGCCAGTCCAGATTCAGTAACAAAAGCAACTGATGTTTGAGAACTTTAAGTACGTTTTTCCCTGAGAGAAACTTTAATTTGAACCAAGTTGAAAATGAGACCCAAAGACCTAACCGTAACCAAAGTTAAACTTGATTGAAGAGCACAAGCTCGTTGAAACACCTAGAGACCTTTTAATATGCGGTTCAGACAAGTCACTTATACAGAGAAGCAACAACTGCTTGTGATTAAGAAATTCTGACAAGATATGGTCAGCGTTTCCGCTTAGATATTGACATCTCAATGTTATGGAATAACAGTCACTGGAAAGATCTTGAAACAAAACAGCTAAAGCCATTCACGTCAACCGAAACATGAAATAAAGCAGTTTTCTATGAGCATAACATTCCCCACCAATTATTGCAGGAAAATCAGGATTACATTTAGGCAAACATGAGTCTAATGTCTCATCATTATGTTTTGTATTTAGCTTGTTGGGATCTGGAGTACAACCTGGGTGAACATTTCATCAAATCATCTCCACTTCCACTTCCTCCATTACTCTCTCACGCTTTCCTTCTCTTGTTTGGACTTTTCTTATCTCTGGCTCTACATCTGGCTCCATCCCTTTCTTTTTATCATTATTAGCATCACCATCCCTCACTCATTCTTCCTCTTTTCCTTCCTCCCCTCTCGTTCTCTCCCCCCTCTCCCCCTGCCTGGACTTGCTGGTCTGCAGTGTCTATTTCAGTCTTTCCGTTGGGGTCAGATTCGGCACATCCGGTATCTCATCCAGTTTATTGTCATTCAATCCTGCTGTGCTCCCGGAGGGCATCAGGAGGAAGGCCCCTGGGTCTTAGTGCCTGACGGACCTCACATACAGTCATACGTACCCAGAAAACCTTGCAGTACTGTCGTCAAACGTTATGACCTTTTGAAGCTAAAAATGGTTCTTAA